TGAGGTCAAAAGATCAAGACCATCCTGGCCAACATGGTGAAACCCCATCTCTACTAAAAATACAAAAATTAACTGGGCATGGTGGCACACCTGTAATCCCAGCTATTCAGGAGGTTGAGGCTGGAGAATCACTTGAACCCAGGAGATGGAGGTTGCAGTGAGCCGAGATCAAGTCACTGCACTCTGGCCTGGCAACAGAGCGAGTCTCCGTCTCAAAAAAAACAAAAAAAAACAACAAAAAAAAAACCCAGCAATATACTTATTTGTTTGCTGTATCCAGCAATATATTTTTTAAGATGTCAATTAGGCTGGGCGCGGTGGCTCACACCTGTAATCTCTGCACTTTGGGAGGCTGAGGCGGGCATATCACAAGGTGAGGCGATCGAGACCATCCTGGACAACATGGTGAAACCCCATCTCTACTAAAAAAAACTACAAAAAATTAGCCGGGCATGGTGGCACGTGCCTGTAGTCCCAGCTAGTCAGGAGGCTGAGGCAGGGAAATCACTTGAACCCAGGAGGCGGAGGTTGCAGTGAGCCGAGATCGCGCCGTTGCACTCCAGCCCGGTGACAGAGCAACACTCCGTCTCAAAAAAAAAAAAAAAGATGTCAAATTTATATTTCCAAAATTCAAATAGAAATATTACTACTAACCATAAAACTTGCCAGTAAAAATTAAAATTTATTTGCAATTCTTTTTATTATTAGACTGTATCTATTACTAAGAGGGATAGATACAAAGTCCTTTATTCAGGAGTCATTGTGAAGGACTTCTTTTCATTTATGGTTATTTTACTAATTGGATATTTAGTTAAGTTCATTTGTTTCCGTTTTCAATTTTAGGATTTACTTTTTTAAAATTTTGATCTAATTTAATATTTTGAATATGTAGAACGTTTAACTTGTCAAAACTATATTAAAAGTTATACTCAGGGAAGTCTGCCTTTCATCCCTGTTCCATCCACTCCATTTTTCCCAACCTTGATAGAGATCCATTTTTATTCGTTTCTGGTTTATCATTTTCAGTGTTTCTTGTAAACATATATCTATATATAAAATTAAGTAAATGAATACGTATATTTATATATGTAAATAAGTATGTAAACAGTCTTATATGTACAAAGTGCATAAGCATATAAATACATCTTTGTATACTTACTTATTTATATACTTATTCAAATATATTTTTTATTTTCTATCCTTTATTCCACAGAAAGTAATAAACCATAGTGTTCCACACCTTGCTTTTTTCAACAATAATATCCTGAATTTCACTACATAATAGTAAAGAGAAACATTCATATTTTTCTTCAACCACTGTCTAGTACTTCATTATATGAGTGCTCTACTGTTAATTAGTTCCTTTAAGGATAGATGTTTGCATTGTTTCCAGTCTTTTGTAATTACAAATAATGCCACTGAATAACCTTGTGCATATGTTGTTTTGTATTTGTTGAAGTGTGTCTTTGGGGAAGATCTTAACACTGGATTTGCCATGTCATAGGGTAAATGTATCTTTAATTTTGTTAGGTTTTGCCAAATTCAGCTTCATTGTGATTGTGCCATTTTCCATTTCCATTAGTAGTAAATGAAAGTGCTTGTTTCCTCCACAGCCTCACCAACAAAATCTGTTGTTGAACTTTATTGTTTTTGAGTGATAATTAGAAACCAAGGTCATATGACCTTTTCCAGGTCATAAAGGAATTCACCAATGTTTTATGTTAGAATTTAGATTGTTTCATGTTTTTTGCATTTAGATCTCTTATCCATTTGGAAGTTTTTCACTAGGATATAGTATAAGGTTGAGATCTAATTTTATCTTTTCCAAAATGATAATAGGATTGTCAGGACCATCATTTATTTTAGTCTGTTTTCCCTTATGATTTGAAATGTCTGTTTCATCATATACTAGATATCTGAACGTATGTGGGTCTATTTTGTCCACTGGTCTTTCTTCCTATTTATTTAGTGAGGTCTTACGTTTTAAAATCAGTAGGACTAACCATTGCTTTTTTTTGCAGGGTTTTCCTGGCTATTCTTGCCTCTGTTTTTTTTATGTGTTCTTTAAAATCAGCTTGTCTAGCATCAGAAAAAAAAAACCAAAACCTATTGATTTTTTAATCCATATTAAATTTTATCTGAGCCTTATGATTTTGAATTGTCCTGTCCACAAATTAGGTACCTTTCCACGTATCCAAGTCCAGGTTTTTTTGTTTGTTTTTACAGCTGTGTTTTAAAGTTTTCCTCACATAAGCTTTGCACATTTCTTTTAAATGTTTATTCCTAAACACAGTAGTATCTCCTTATCCTTGAGGGATATATTCCAAGAACCCCAGTGGATTACTGAAACCCTGAATATTACCAAACCCGATTGTGATCAGTCAACACTTTTCTGTTCATGCCTTCCACCTACAAATGTAATGTCTTAACTAAGATGCAAACTTAATCCATTTTAACTAAGCACTTATGCACTGTGGCTGCAGCTTTTGCAGTCTGAGGTGTGATAGCAAAGCTACCATAATTTTTTCTCTTCGCAGTTTTGTAGATAGAAGATTTGTTACCATAGACCTTAGTAACCTCAGCATGCTGGTTTTTTCTCTCCTTAAGTCGAGAACTTTCACCTTTTCACTTAAAGGAAGCACTTTACGCCTTGTCTTTGGCATATCCAAATTGCCAGCATCACAACTCTTGTACTGTGGGGCCATTATCAAGTAAAATAAGGGTTCCTTGAATATAGGCCCTGCAAATACCACGACAGTGATCTGATCACTGAGCTAACTACTGAGTGACTCAGAGGCAGGTAATGTGTACTGTGTAGAGTGGAATGGTGGGAGATTTCATCACACTACTCAGAATTGCATGAAATTTAAAGCTTATAAATTGTTTATTTCTGGATTTTTTCATTTAATATTTTCTGACTGAGATTACCCATGGGTAACTGAAACCGTAGAAAGCAAAACTGCAGGTAAGGAAGGACTGCCATATTTCATCTTTTTTTGCTGCTAGGGTAAGGTTTTCTCTTCCATTCTGTCTTCTAAGTGGATATTATTAGTGTATATGATAGCTATTGATTTTTGTGTTAATTTGAATTATTTTATTTTGTGGTAGTTTTATACTGACTTTCTGGGATTTTCAGGTATCTCTCAGATTACCTGAAAATTAAGATAGTTTTTCTTCTTCCTTTCTAATTTGTTTGCCTATAATTGTGGGGTGGGGGTGGAGATTTGGTCTGATTACATTGGCTAATCCATCCAGTTCATTAATAATAGTGGAGATAGTGGGCATCCTTGCCTTGTTCCTGACTATGAAATGCTAGATTTGGGGCTGAGTTGTATGTATTTTATCATATTAAGTATCCATCAATTTCTATTTCATTACTTTTTGTTTTTTAAAATCAGGAAAAGGTATTGAATGTTGTTGAATTGATAAAGAAGATTACATAATATTCTTCTTTAGTAAACATTTGGTAGTGCAATAAATTATATCAATTGGTTGCCTAATATTGATTCATCCTTAATTTCTGGAGCAAATACCACTTGGTTGTGATATACTGTTTTTTAATTTACCATAGGATAGTGTTTGTTCATATTTTATTTAGATTTGAATTTACGTGGCTTCAGTAACATGAATGACTTCACCACAGTGTTTTTAAAAGGCTCATTATATACTATTTAGTAATCTTTTCTATAATTTTCCAAAGGATTAGTATCATTGAGTATAAACAGACTCCATACTTAGAAGTGTGGTAGCTAAGAACTTCATGCTGATTTCAAGTGGATGATTTCTGTCCTTCACCAAACCAGACCTCCAGTTCCTTCTTCAACATCTTTCTGTATAATTCTGTTTGAAGGCCACTCATTCTTTATTGAAAAACTGGAATGTACAATTGGAGTTACATAATCCTATCTTTCTCTGTCATATGTTGCTTTTATCATTGTCTCTTCAACATTGGACAATAATTCCTTCTTTTTGCCAAATTTAGCTCCAAAAAGCTCTTAGGTTTTAGAGCCTACCATACTTATATAACTCAAGTTAACTCCAGGTTCTGATATTGCTTTCATGAATAACATATTTGGAAAAGAGTAGAGATTTTAGCCCTGTTCGAGTGGTGCTGTGTTCTTCCCAATCCCTTCCCTATGTATTCTGTTCACTCTTCTCATTCTCTTGTTTAAACAAAAAAGTTTTGTCACATTATCTGTCCATCTATCCATCTGTCTTATCTCTGTACACATATGCACACATATATATTTTTTTCATTGGTTCTCTTTCTTTGGAGAACCTTGACTGATACACCATGTGACCCAGCAATTCCATTCCTAGGTGTATACCCAAGAAAAATGAAAATGTAGGTCCACACAAAAACTTCTACATGAATGTTCACAGTAGTAGTATTCATAATAGCCCAAAGTGACACAACTCAAATATCAGTCATCTGATAAGTGGATAAAATGTGGTATATGTGTATAATGGAATATTTTTCAAATATCACAAGGAGTGAAATACTGATGCATGCTATAGCATGGCTAAATCTTACGGTATATAATGAATCTAATGTTTTATGTTATATCTGTATCTGGTTATCTGGCTACATCTTCTGTTGGTTCTATTTTTCTGAGGAACTCTGATATACCATATGATCCAGCAATTCCATTCCTATGAGTATATATGTAGATAGATATCTTTACATGATATCTACATGTCCGTAAATGTAGATGTCTATATAATACATAGAAATGTCTGTACTTATATAGAGAACAAGAGATTGAGATTTACTTTAAGGAATGGGCTTACTTGATTGTGGGGGCTGGCATGTCTGAAATTTGTAGGGCAGGCTGGCAGGCTGGAAACTCACATAGGACTTCTATTACAGTGTTGAGGCAGAATTTTTTTCTCTAAGACATCTCAGTTTTTGCTCTTAAGGACTTCAACTAATTGGATGAGGACCACGCACATTATTGAGTGTAATCTCCTTTACATAAAGTCAGTTGATTGTAAATGCTAGTAATATCTTCAAGATATCTTCACAGCAACATCCAGATTACTGTTTGACCAAACAACTGAGCACTATAGTCTAGCCAACTTGACTCAAAATTAATCATTACATATGGTAACTCTGTGTTTAACCTTTTGAGGAACTCCCAGGTTTCTGAAGCACCATTTTACATTCCCACCAGCAATGTATGAAGATTCTGATTTCTCTGCATCCTCACCAACACCTGTTAATATCTGTCTTTTTTTTATTAGCGCTGTCCTAGTGTGAAGTGGTATCTCATCATGGAGATTTGCCTTTTTAAGTTCAATATTGTGTTTCTAAGATTCATTTGTGCTGTCACATGTAAGCTGTTCATTCATTTTCACTGTGATATAATACTGTGTTAAGGTACTCCATAATTTATTCATTATTAATATTCATGCTGCTATTTCAATTACTATTCATATATTAATATATGTATATATATCAATAATTTATATTTATAATAATTTATACATTATTCATTGTTCTATTGATGGATGATTTGGTGTTCAATTTTTTGCTTCTGTGAACAGAATATTCTTATACATGTTTCCTGGCACACATGTGCAAGAGTTTCTCTAGACTGTGCATAAATCTCGGAGTGGTATTGCTGGTCCGTAGGGTATACAATACTCAAGTTTACGAGATAATGCCACCCATGTTTTCCAAATGTCTCTATCAATTTGCTTTCCCATTAGTGTATAAGACTTTTGTCTCTCAGTGTCCCACGTGGAACCATCAGGCCCCTTTTTGCCAATTTCATGGGTTTCTCAATTTGCACTTCCCTGGAGGCTAAACATATCTTCATATGTTTATTAGTCATCTGATTGCTCCTTTTAAAAGTGCTGGTCATTGTGTCTTTTGCCCATTTTTAAAAATTTGCTCATTTCTCTTATTGGTATGTGTAGATTCTTTATTCTACACATTAATATTTTATCAGTTATATATGTTACAGGCATCTAGTTTGTTTTTTTTCCTTTGTGGTGTTTTTTGGTAAACAGAAGTTGTTGATTTTAATGCAGTTCCTCATTAATGCTATACCTTATGCTTACTCTGTCTTAAGAAAGCCATGTTTAGATGGATAGCCATCTCATTCTTGTAGCCAAGCATGTTTATTGTAATTTTTCTTCCATCTCTGAAATAATTTGCTTGTCAGACTCTGTAGGGATTATTCCTCTGTATGTGGTACTTTAAAAAAAACTTTAAACATGTCAAATAATGGAAAAGATTGGAGAAAATATCATAAGGTGATTGATACTTAAGGCCGTGTCTTATAGATAGAAAACATACTTAAATTTGGTGAAATATTCTGCAACTCTTCTAGATGGCAGGTGATAGTAAATACACTAAAATTGTGGTTCTACCAATAGCATATTCATTCCTTCTATAACAAAACTTGTATTAATGAGAGAACAGAAGATGAAATTAAAAGAGACTTTATTCTCTCTTAAAAAGCCATGAGACTTAACAAAAGTTAAAAGTGTGTTTTTTTTAATTCAGGAAGAGGATCACCTGGCCCGGGTAGAAGAGGCAATCACTCGTATGCTTGTGTGTGCCCTGAAAACTGCAGAGAATCCACAAAATACCAGAGCCTGGTTAAACCCCACTGAGGTAGGCGGCTTCTGGTCTTCATCATGGCAGTTAAGTTTCCTGTGGTAAACCAGCCCTGACTAGGACTTTTGTTTTCCAATGTAACTAAATGTATGTAACCATTTTAAAGGGTTTTTCTTTTCCCTTAGGTTGAGGAAACGTCCCATGCAGTGAACTGTTGCTACTTAAATGCAGCTGTTTCTGCATTTTTTGATCGTTGCAGAACATCTAAGGTGGTAGAAATCCAAGCACCGAGAACAGATGGAGAGCGCATGAAAAAGGAAGAATTAAATGTGTACAGCCACATGGAGGTGGGCCAAACAGGTAGCCAGAACTTGACCACAGGAACAGGCAAACCGGAGGCAGCAAGTCCCTTTGGCCCTGATCTGGTACCTGTGGCACAGAGGTCCGAAGAACCACTTTCAGAAAGAGGAGGCATATTTGGAAGTGATGGGAAAGACTTTGTTGACAAGGATGGAGAACACTTTGGAAAACTGCATTGTGCCAAGAGACAACAAATAATGAACAGTGAAAAGGCAATTAAGGAACAGATTGCCTCAAATGCTACTACGACTCCTTCTCAAACATTCATTTCTACGGACGACTTGCTGGACTGCTTGGTGAATCCACAAGTAACCAGGATAGTGGCACAACTTTTGATACAAGGAAGAAGTTTGTGATTCCAGTGGAAGATGACTTTTAAAATAATATTTTTTAAATATGTATTTTTAAGTAGTGTGACTGTAAAATAAAGATGAACCAGCAAAAGGTCAGTTTGCACGTTTGTAAATGTATTTGTCCTTACCGAATTACATTTCAGTCTGTTGCCACCTTCTTTTTTTTTTTTTTTTTTTTTAAGTTCTAGGGTACATGTGCACAATCTGTTGCCACTTTCTTTCATGCATATTCCTCTTTGGCCAAACTGGCTGCTCTTTGTTTGTAAGCTTTTGTTCCTCCCTCATCCCATACTTTCAGCTTGTCTCAAATGTAAGTCCCAAGTATTTCCAGCAGGAAGTAATGTCTTCCTCAGCCTCAACCAGGGACCAGCCTGCTGCTTACTTTTGCAAATAAAGTTTTACTAGAACACAGCCATGCAATTCATTTACATATTGTCTACGATGTCTTCAGGATTACGACGGCGGTGTTGAGTAGTGACAGAGAGTGTGTGGCCCAGAAAAAATATTCACTATCTGTTCCTTTACCGAAAAGCTTTGTCAGCCTCTGGTCTAATGGATCCACTGGGTCTGGAATCTAGCCTTGCTCTGAGGTGATCTCACTTGTAACAGCTACAGAATTCTCACTGGATAACCCCTGTCATTCAGAGCAGGATACCAATCAGGAGAAAAGTAGTTGTGGGTTCAGTATGAGGCCTCTTCAGGCAAGGAACTTGGACATCTAGGAACACCAATCCTGGGACTAAAAAGGACTCAAAATCCCCAAACAGTGACTAAAGACTTAGCTCAGTGAAATTGATCCCACTCTCATTACATTTGCAAGATCCAGGGATAATTAATCACCATCACTGTCTAAGAAGGAATTTAGAAATTAGAAAAGCATGTTGATCTCTGGGTAACCATGCATGAAACAAATACACAACAGAAAAGATAGGCAAAGTCACCTTTGAGTTGAACTAATAGCTGGCTATCCTACTGTCCTCGAGGTAAAGAGTATCAGTAAATCCAAAGAAAGTATGTGTTTTCATGGAGGGAAGAAGGGTGTTGTTACATAAGCATGCCCAGGGAAAGAAGGGTCTGAAAAGAGTCCTTCTGTGGCACTTATCTCCATCTGACCACTATGTATTTACCTATGAATTTCATTAGCATCTCTCCCAACCAAAATGTAACTCCTTAAGGGTAGGGACTTTGATTATTGCTGTTATTTGCAGAGCCACAATCAGTGCCCAGCATGTAGTAGGTGCTTATTAAATATTTGAATGAGTGAATAATAAAAATGAGACCTTATTGACAATACCTCATCAAGTACATTGGGACAGAGAATGTGGCCAAAGATAAGGTAGCTGTTATTCTTGGTATATTCCTATTGCAGAAATAGACATCATTTACTACAGATATTTTACTTTTTATGCTTGCTACTCCTTTGACCACTTTTTCAAACTGCAGATAGTGACCTATTATAAAATCATTGTAGCAGGTGAGACCAGCGTTTTTTGTTTTTTTGTTCTGTTTTGGTTTTTTGTTTTGAGGTGGAGTGTCGCTCTGTCGCCCATGCAACAGTGCAGTGGCCCGATCTCCGCTCACTGCAACCTCTGCCACCCGGGTTCAAGCGATTCTCTCAGCCTCCTGAGTAGCTGGAATTACAGGTGCACACCACCATGCCCAGCTAATTTTTGTTTTTTTTTTTTTTAGTAAAGATGGGGTTTCACCATATTGGCCATGCTGGTCTCGAACTCCTGACCACGTGATCTGCCTGCCTCAGCCTCCCAAAGTGCTGGGATTACAGACACCAGCGTTTTTTGTTTTCTGTTTTTAAATGGAATAAATAATTTCACTGAATTGGAATACTCTATTATTTCAGGAAACCTTTCATGAAAAATATTTCAGGGTAAGTATATCTCATAAAACTTTTCAGTTACATCTGTGTATGTATTGGGCCTGATATAAAATGTATTTTTTAGTGTAGGTTGGGGTCAGGAAAGTTTACAAGGCATTTTGAGACAAAACATTTAATTCAATTAGAGTTAAATATTTGAGATGCTGAGACCTGGGAGAAGAGTTAACACATTGTTGTGCATGGATTTCTATGGTATGAAACAGATTATGGGGGATAATTTCCTGATTTCATAGAGACCGTAAGGCAGCAAGAGGTTCTGACTATCTGCAGAGAATGATGTGAGAAAAGAGAGTGAAAGGGGGGCTGTCAGCCACCACGGTAGCTGTGTCCCTTTTCATCCTGCATTTCACAGGTAAGCTGACTGAGCAAGTGAAATCATTGATTAAAGAGAACCTCAGCTGGGTGCCGTGGCTTACACATGTAATCCCAGCACTTTGGGAGGCCAAGGCGGGCAGATCACCTGAGGTCAGGAGTTTGAGACCAGCCTGGCCAACATGGTGAAACCCCGTCTCTACTAAAAATGCAAAATTAGCCAGGTGTGGTGGCACACGCCTGCAGTACCAGCTACTCGGGAGGCTGAGGCAGAAGAATCGCTTGAGGCGTAGCTGGAATTACAGGTGCACACCACCATGCCCAGCTAATTTTTGTATTTTTTTTTTTTTTTTTTTTTTTTAGTAGAGACGGTGTTTCACCATATTGGCCATGCTGGTCTCAAACTCCTGACCACGTGATCTGCCTGCCTCAGCCTCCCCAGTAGGCGGAGGTTGCGTTGAGCCGAGATCACACCATTGAACTCCAGCCTGGGCGCCAAAGAATACAAACCCAGCCGAATGTGCCTGTAATCCCAGCTGAGCCAGGGAGATTGCTTGAGCCCAATTCATGCAACATAGTAAAACCTCTATCCTTAAAAGAATAAAAAATAAATAAAAACTCAGCCTTCCCCCTAATGTCACAGAATCAAGGGAGCAGCAGCAGGCTGCCTTATCCATTAGGTGCAGTAGACAATGGCTAGGGCCCACGAATCTTTTAGGAGGCCACAAAGATTTTTAGTTTCTTTTAAAATCAGGAACAAAATATATAATCCAGCCTCGACTTCATTTGTGTTCATGTCAATGCAGTTGCAAATTGTATTTAATTTTTTTATGCAATAAAGGGCCCACAATGGCAAAAGTGCCTGAGGTCCATGAACATTTTATAGTGGCTCTGGGTGTCAGAGATACCAGAATTATTTGAGGTGCTTGCCCAAAATGCAGATTCCTGGGAACCACTCTAGTGCTAGAGAATCTGACTCCTTTGGGACGAGGCCAGAGCTTGGAGGTTCAGCAAACACCTCAGGTGATCCAAATACCAAAAAAGAGAATTTCTGACCCTAGAGTAAACAACCAAGACCTATCACAGGTGCAAAGTGCACTTGTTTCAGCCGGGGCTACTTGCTGGGGTCAATAAGCCCTTCAGATTCACTGAACTATGGCTGTATCATGCCCCTTCCTGTAATTTTCAGCCAAATATTAATACACTGAGCATCCCTTCATGCTGTCATACTTAGTTGTGGTTTAAAATTATTATTATTATCAGCAGTGGTCTGTGTTTATCATTAAGCCCCCCCCATATTTGCCCTTTAAGATAAAAATGTTTACCATTAAATGACAGTTTTCCAGTATTTTATTTGAAAAGGAGGAAAATGACAGTTAACATGTTTAGATTGAGGATAACTATAACATTACTGAATGGATTGTTATTCTTCGGTGCGATATACCCTGATACTCAGCCTTACCCTGAGTTAACCAAACCATTGGAGAACAAAAGCAAATAACAGCGAATCTTTTTTATTCCAATTTCTTACATTTATTGTCAATGATGAATTCAGATGCCAGTGGCCTGCCTAGAAAGCCACTCTTAAGCAATAAGGAGTCTGCCAATCCACTTAAAAAACAAACCACAAGAGAAAAAAATCCAAAACCTCTATGTTAATGAAGCAGCAACTGTGGCCGCCTAACCTCCTCCACTTCAAGTACAGGTGTTTCTAGCAGATTAAATCCCTTAATCCTCCCAGCGACCCCTAGCATCTGATGTGCTATCTGCACTGGCTCCGTGTCGGTATCGGCTCTGGCCTTGGCCTACAGAGTTTCAAATAAAGAGACTATAATAGAAGAAGCCAGAAGGAAAAAAACAACAAGGGAAGATAGGGGTATTTCAAGACTGTCGGAGATGTTCCTGAATCAGTGGCATTAATCTAGAGGCCATGTTCTGCAGTGGGAAGAGCAGTGGACTTGACATCACAGGGACCAAGATTCAGTTGCTGGCTCTGAGGGTTCCTGCTTAGGTGATCTCAGGCAAGGAAGCTTCTTGCACTCTGAGCATGTTTCCTCAAGTTTCAAATACAGAGAGAATTCTTACCTCACAGGATTGTTTGAGGAGTTGAGACAATGTGTGTGAAAGCACCTATTTTACTACCTGGCACACAATCTACATGCTCAATAGATGGTGTTTGAATCTTAAACTTACCTGGGGAAACTTTTAAAACTTTATCATTCAATAGATATGAGTTAGCAGATTAGCAATATGACTGCTCACTTCCTTTGGTTTATTTATACATAAGACATCAAAAGCTAGGCTATCAAGGAAAATATACTATTTTATAATCTTAGAGTTTGTTTAATCTCAGCACAGGAGAAGGGTTTCACAGTGAAGTTGTGTAGTAGGCGTTATCCCATTGTTATCACTGGGCAGAACAAAGACCAATGAGTAGACACTATAAGAAGGCACACTGGCCGGCCGCGGTGGCTCACACCTGTAATCCCAGCAGTTTGGGAGGCTGAGGCGGGCGGATTACCTGAGGTTGGGAGTTCAAGACCAGCCTGGCCAACATGGAGAAACCTCATCTCTACTAAAAATACAAAATTAGCCAGGTGTGTTGGCACATGCCTGTAATCCCAGCTACTTGGGAGGCTGAGACAGGAGAATCGCTTGAACCTGGGAGGCGGAGGCTGCAGTGAGCCGAGATCACGCCATTGCGCTCCAGCCTGGGCAACAAGAGTGAAACTCTGTCTCAAAAAAAAAAAAAAAGAAGAAGGCACATTTTGGTTCAACATTAAAAAGAGCCTTCTGGCAACTGGAGCCAGGGTTGTGCGGCGCAACTCCATGGGGCAGGATTCCCCCAGACCACAGCCACATCACAGCTCCTGGACCATGCAGGGAAAGT